ACGGGTGAATGTGGAACGTGATCCCGCCTCCTTCTGGCTCGAAGGGGAATCACTCACACTCGAGCGCGACAACCACACCGACGTACTGCCGCTTAACGCGGGAGCGTCATTGGCTGTCCTGTTTACCCCAGTATCTCCGGAGGGGTGCTTCTGATCCAAAAGTAGTAAAGGACTTTTGGGGTCAGACTCACCCCCTGTACATGCCGGTTAATTATCGGCACGTACTTCTGGGACACCCTGTATAGATAGGTGGGATAGATGGAAAAATGCGACAAAATTGAATGAGTATAATACGAGTCGCCATTACTCGTATTTCAGCTACTCCAGATATGAATATTGATTAGGTGATTGTGATTACTTTTTTCATTCAGTAAAATTATAGTATCGAAATATGCTGGTAACGAATTATCAATGCGACTACCTATTACGTACTTAGCGAATGTCGTGGCGCTGAACTCGTTGGTATCAATAACAATCAGAACACCATTCAGTCGGGCATATTTGACTAAGGACCTCCCATTATATTGGACATAGTATGTGAATTTTCGAAATTATTGAAATAAACCTTAAGGTCAAGTGTTATTCGCGTGATCTGATGGTACGATTATCGAATGATTATTCGTATAATTATCTGTACAATTAATCGAACGAAGTGATATCCTTAGGTTGGAATATTTATACAATACTCGTTTCTTGAGAATTCAGTTTGACATGTTTTACTCTAATCATTTCCATAGCTGTCATAACAGCATAGAGCATTGATAAGAGTTCCATTACTAAACATGCCTTATTCAATAGTGTTCTCATTATTATGGATACTGATGACTTCATGATCCTGAAGTGCGCGAAGTACATAATAAATAATAGCATAAAAACAGCATTCCCAACATATTTCGAGAATGTCATTTTATTAAAATAAGAAACCATCACAACTTCTTAATAGCAAAAATGTTCATGAACCTAATTTTCGACTCTGGCAAAGAGGGAATTTATTCAAACATTGCTCAACATCGTTTGCTACAATAGATTCTTATTCGTTCCTCTATTAGTCACTTCACTTGACAGAGTAAAAAGTTTTTGATATGTTCATAATTACCCACAAACAAATTTCACCACTTGACGGGTAAATTCCTAATTCATTGGCTATGGATTTCATGCTATTCAAATTTTTAATTAGCATCGTTGGTTTTTAAAAGGGGGTGGGGAGGTTCGGTCCTTAATTAATGAGAAAAACTGGAACCAAAAGGAATTACTGAAAAAAATACCCGAACGAATCTCAATTAATAGTATAATATTTTTGAGGATATCAATTAGTGAAATAACAATAGAAATACTAATTGACGATGTTTACGGCAGCGGACGGGGGGTATTATAAAGGGAAACATTATAACGCTTTGCAAAAATCCTTTTGTCTAACTCTCCATGTTTTCTTTTGATTCTCCTTCTCTTCCTTCCTTCTTCCTTCTTTCGATCAATCTTGCGTCCTTGGACACAAAACGTTCTCCAGAGTATTCTCCACACATCTTTCAAAAATATCCTGAACAACTTGTTGTGACCGGGGCAGCCGAAAACCGAGTATTGACCGTCTATCGCTCAGTCGTCTTTCTCCTGGATTTTCGTGAATAATCGGAGGCTAGATCGGGGGCACACGGTCGGCGACTTCCTTCTTTATCTCGTCCAAGGGCGAGATAAATTGTATCTTCGCTGGCATCCCCGTCAAGAGAAAGAGATGTAAGAGAAAAAGACCCAAATGTAATCCAACACAACAGAGAAGGAAGAGAGAAAGCTGGATGAATAACCGGGGGACCCTTCTCTGGCCGCTGATCCACCAGGAGAAGCCCGGAGACAAAAAAGACGAGGGAAAATAACCTTGCTCAAGGCAATGGAAGCGCATGATTTTCGAGTCGACACCGACGTCGATAACTGAGAGCGTTGACCAAGTGACTTCGAACCAGGAAGATAATGAATTCCGCGAACCCGAAACGAGTCTTCAGAATCTAAATAGGGATCGATAATAAACCGATGTGGGTTATTTTATCCGAAAGATTCTAAAAAAAATGTGGTTTGGACAAAAAATCGTTAATTTTAACCTTATCCAACGGATCCTTTCATATCATAAAAACCATGATCATACCAAATTTCAACTTGCTATTCCAATTTTTTATCGAATTATTGAGTACATAAAACTGAAAATATTAAGAGAACCGAAAAATGGTAATATCTCGCGATTTTTATATGAACGGGTGTACATATTTTGATTGCTGTATGTTGAGCCCATTGAGATAAGCATCTTGAAAAGAAAAAATGGAAATCCGGTGAGTGGTTGTTGAAATATTCAAAGAAATACATGCACACAAAATGTTGAATATCTCTGGAGTCGCTTGGCCAATTGCGGCCGCCCACAATACCATTTTTTTATGTCATGAGAGTTGCAAGTGGACAAGCTTTCAACTTGGTATCTCTATTTTTTGTTAATTTATCGCGTTCACAAGATTTGTGATGATGAAACAAAAAAAATCAATATCACCCAATTCTATGCGAACAAATGTAGATCTGGATTGATTCAGATAGGGCTCACTGAGACGATTCTTTCGAAAAAAATTGAAATCCTAATAATTTTTGAGATATTGAGAAGAAACGAAATTTAAAGCAGCTGCTGTATCTCAAGAACTACTGGGTCGATCGAGGTATAATAGCGCGTCAAAATAAAATTGAATCATTGTTATTATGTGTTCAAATTTTAGATTTTCAGCGACAATTTTCCGTTTTTATGTTGAATTTTCTAAAGATTAATCTTGAAAGTTTCAAATTTTCCAGAATATACACAGAGGCATTATTAAAAAACTTAATTTTTTTGCACGCATGACACTCTAGAAAACTTGCAATTGAAATTAAAGAATTGCAGAATCTGGCAAATACAACACAAATACTTCCCTTCGGAAGCACAAATTGAGATAATTTTTGAGAACGAATTAACACTCTCATATCCGGTCAAAGGTCAAATAATTTTCACGGCGCATGAAAACCTGGGTCTGTTCCATCTTTCTATCGCAATACCGCAGAAATTATGGGATGTAGAAAAAATAAGACTTCGTATTGGAATAGAGTACTAGCCGATCTAACGAATGAAAGTAGTATCAGTCATTCGATTTCTTTTTCACGAAGATGCAGGCCTGCAAGGTTTGCGGACTACACATTTGGAAGAGAGATAGTCAATGAAAGTTGCCGAGCGTTACCGCATATTGCTTTTTTGTGTTTAATTTAAAAATGGTGAAAAATGAAAACATAATCAAATATGCCATACTAAGGATAACCAAAATAAAATTTCCATCATCAAAGTTTCTGAAATCTGATGAAATGTTTCATTTGAAGAATATTTAATTTCCTAACTGGCTTATGGTTTTGTTGCGACGAAAATAAATATATCGCTGCCTTACCTCAGTATTTCTTTTTCAGTTTATCACTGGGCAGAAGTTAAGGCGAAGATGTATTTAATGAATTTGGGAAAACCGACAAAAGTAGCGAAGCTGAATGAGCAGATGGCAATCGAGCTCGGTGCAAGTCTCATGGGTGAAGTGATCATTTTCACAGTGGCCGGCGGCTGCTTAATCCTTGAATACAACCGACAGGTTGCTAAGGAGGCTCGAAAGGAAGGAGATAGGCAAGCTCAACTTCAGAAATTCGCCGATGACATCACCAACCTCCACCAGTTATCTCAACAACAGGCGAAACAGTTAGAATATCTCACGCATGTTATCGAAGAAATTGCAAAAAAAACAAAACACAAAATAAATCTCCAAGAGGTCAAATCGTCTTCATATCTAGCTGACTCTAGTGATTCAACAAAGGAACATTCACGAAATTCTGTCAATAATGTTAGTATCAAGAAAAATAATGCTGATGATAGTGATGATAAGTCGGTTGTACGTCGAGCGATAGTTTACTATGAAAATGATGTTAAAGGAAAATTCAGCTGAAGTATTATTCATTCAATAGTAAAGCACTAAAGGCACTAGAATAAAACACTTAAAACTTACTGTTCTTATTGAATGTTAGATCATTTCGATAATGAGATGAATATGACAAACGAATTGAATTATTTATCGTTAAAACAGCTCCAGCTCCAGCTGCAGAAAAAACGTTCTACTATTTCATGATAGAATCCATTTTATCAATATCACTCGCTGAAGGTAGCTTAATAAAAGAAAATAATTCACCTTGTTAGTTTCATATAAAAACCTCTTTGTTTTCTAATTATAAAAACTGTGAAAATGTTGCAAAGTATTGGTGAAGACGTGGGGAGATGGATGTAGAAATATACTGCAGACTATTTTATAAAAATGATCCAAGTCACCCTTAAAAGTGATGCGAGGTTGAAATTATTTCGCTTCACAACTTCAGGACTGCATCAATTTCACATTACTCTAGTCACTTTATTGTGTTCCTCTTGGAAAAACTGTTAACCTCATGCGCGTAATAAAACCAAATTAATGCCCAACTGGCATACCTAATAGTTGACATGACATTTGATGTAATTTATTAAAGCTTACAGCTTTAATAAATTTTGTGAAGCTTTAAGCTTAAAGAAAATTCATTGGTTGCTTTCGTATTCAAGCTGTGTGATCCTTTATTTTTACGATTTTTCATATTTTTGATTTGATATTTACCAAATTGAGGGAAAATAGTTCAACTCACCGAGGTATCCCTAGATGGTACTGGGCATTTTGTATTCTTTCGCATATTTTTCAGAAAATCTTTGTTGTCATAATTACGTTCGACCAAATTGAAATAGTCAGTTCAAAATCGGTGTGATTGTAGATTTTGTCATTTTAAAGGATCATACCGAATATGAACGAAATGAGATCGCTAGTGTTCAAGATATTCATTTTTTTAATGTGTACTTTACGGTCATTCTTCCCTTATCTTTCCAATTGTTGGTTGAATTACAATTTCTTCTTATACTAGGGCGATATCAAAGCACACATGGAATGCACGCGCTATTGGGAACGATCCCTTAAGGTTTAATCATATCGGCCTTTCTCATATAAACCTGTTCAATTTATAATTCAATCAACATCAAAATTTAGTCACCAGTTTATTTCCCATTCAATTTTCTTTTGTCCTCTATTGTTTTTTTCTTTAAATGTTCTCTGAATCGTTTTATTCGTTGTTTGCCTTGACAGCGTTCTCGATTTTTACTATCTTCCTTTAATTTTGTATTTTTCACGTAATTTCGTTTTTCTTTCCGACGTCCGATCACCCAAAAATCAACGTCCCTCAATAAACCTCAATGTAGCAATGTACACCCATTGTCACTAAGTTTCCGAGATATTCCAATTTTTGTTTTTTTTTTTTGCAAAAAATTGATGCATCAATTCGAAATTCAACACCAAGTTTCATCCCGGCAATTTAATATTTAGGAATGAAGAACGGCTGAATTGGATCATTAATTCATGAAATATTCAACTTTGCTTACAATTGATCTTCTAAAATATCTCGAAAACTATCCAATCGATTTCAATTCTTGATATCTCCAAATATTCTACTTGGCGTACTCTATCTTATTCAATGCAAATATGTACATCCCTCCATATTGAGTATCCGAGACATTCCAATTTTTAGTATGACAATAATAAGGGGTGCCTATTATTGTCATCTGAGAATCTCCGAAGACCCTAGAATTCTTCCTTTGCAAATTTGTTACTAATTGTTAGCTGGGAATCACCACCTTCATCTAAAGCCCGAGGCCCATGACATGGACGTAGTGGTGAAGAGCAGGGCCCGGCAACCTTCAGGTAGTCGGGAGCCAGCCTATTACAAGGGTCGGGATAATCTTCTCATCCTAATGGTACTCAATTAGCCAACCATTGTGTGCGAGTAAGTCGCAGTGGTGACGATATTTTCGTTAGCCACGTAGAGTCGCATGCGAGTCGAATAAAAAAGGCTGACCCTCCAGAATTGGCACGAAATTTCAGTTTTTATTTTTAACTCGAAAATTGGAAAATGTCAATTTGCAATGTGAAACATTGGAGATTATATTTCTGAAATGGTTTCCGGCAATTATTAATGATATTTCAAATATTGGAACTCTAAATATGAAAAATGGGAATGTGTCTCTGTCAATTTAGGAATATATTCCTCGAAATTCCATTGCACATTTTCATATTAGAGTTTGAATTTGCTAATTTTGCAACATCAAAATGAAAAATGAATTTTTTTATTCATAACATGAGGAAATAAATGTTTACATTATTTCTCTAGTGGAGCGTACCTTCTATACTGAAGTCAGCATAAGTTTTAACATTGATTTTAGGAGTGGGGGACATGATTACAAGTGGTAACTACGTGGACTGGGGGTACCCAGAGAAGTAAAAACTTATGCTGACTTTAGTATAACTCGTAATTTCGGTGGAAGGATAGTATCTGGGACTAGCAATTTGTAGTATGAATAAAATAAAAAATGAGGAATTCAATTTTTGCTTCCGAATGGATGCATTGCAATTGTCCGATTTTTCTATTCTCTAATTTTGCCTGAAAATGGTGTAGAATGGTCTGAAACGTAAAAATACCAAGTAGGAGGGCCATGTGTGTATTTGTCAATTTTTACAAACGGAGAAGAATAGGCAGGTCAATCAATTCCCGAAAATCTGAAATTTGGTCAGTTCATAGGTGAATATGGACTTGATGTGCGTTAGATTTCAGACCGATGGATTAGAATTCTTATCAGAGTTATATGTATTTTCCCAACAACAACTACTTATCCACGGATTCTTTACTTTATTTGGTAAAATTATCGCTCCACCTCGGAACTTTGGACAATTGTTCTATTTCATTTATTGAATTGCTGCAAATAAGGTCTGGACACAAAATAATTGTCAAGGGTGACTTGAACGCATTCAAAAAATCTTGCGCCTGATACTGCTGCCTATTTAGAGCGAAAAATAGATATTTATATTTTAAATTTATGGAAAATTGAAAATTCCCGGTCGATCACACGATCGCCCTCTGCCGGTATCGGTTGAACCAAGGCTCAAGGAGGATGAGGACCCTCTCGCAGCTCTCACTAACGAACCTCGGGAGCTGTGTGAGCCCGATGAGGCCAGGTTGCCGGGCCCTGGTGTAGAGGCCTCAAAGAAGAGCCTAAACACCACCTCTGAATTCAACGTCGCCATTTATAGTGATTTTTTAAGGATCACAGGTGTCAATTAGCCACTATCTACCTTTCTGTAGACAAATAGATCAATTACTAATTTATAAGGCTATTCTTTGTTGTACTCAGAACTTCAACAAGTGAACCCGTAACGAATTCTTATTTCTATTTAATTCTAAGTTTTTTATTTTTTCCAGAGATAACAGAAAGTCTCAATCAAAATTAGTAGATTTTCACACAGAAAAATCCGTCTATACGTTCATTATACAGATATACACGTTTAAAAATAGTCTTACTTATCTTTTCCTCAGTACGTTTGCTCCCTATACCGTATCGCTGAAGGTTGTAAGGAATTCCGCAGGAATCCCTTATGTTGTGAGTATGCGGAGGGCGGAGGGAGGCACCGCGGAAAATTCGGAATTTTTATGGGGAAATTAGGGCCGGAGGAATTGGGGTGGGTACGTTTTGGGTTTCGGTTTTGGTTGGAAGGCCCTGCGGGGATTGCCACAGTCGCACGCGACAGAGTTTTAAAGATACGTTTTTGGTTTCGTTTTTTTGTTGTTTTGAAAAAGGAATGAAATGGGATGAAATGAAGAAATGAAAAAGAAAAAGGAAATAGCGCCGGAAAAATTAGTCTGTTTTGCCGCCCGGGCGGTCAATCACTACGCCATCTAGGCGCCCGGCGCGAAGCTCCTACCCGTGGCTACGCAACGACCACCTGTTGCCTTTTTAGTCGAAGTTTTTTTGCACCGGTAACACACGTGCGCAGTTTGTCGTACCGCTTTTTGAAGATCGAAGGTGTTTTTTTTTGGGTTCTGGACGATTTTCGGAATTGCCGAGGTCCCGAGAACGTTCCTCAACACGCCTGGAGTAGAGGACAAGGAGTTTTGAGGGGCTAGAAGGAGACAAATGGAGAAAAACCCGGTGAGCACACGCTTTACACTCATGGTGGGTTTCATGGTGGGTTTTGTGGTGGGTTTGTTTTCTATGAGAATTTTCCTCTCACGCCGGTTTTCTTTCGAGCCTCTCGCGAAAATGTAAGAATAAAATTAACGTGGAAACGCGGGAGAGTGATGTGGGGATAATCCCGGTGTGTTTTCGTGGGTTTTTTTTTTGCGTCAAACGCCATGCCGTGAGCCGAGGAATATTCCACAGGGAATATTCCATATCGTACCGTTTCTTTTTCTTTTTTTGACTGCTTTCCCTGTCCGAGGTCGACGAAATGGCGTTCGAATGTACCAGAATTTCGGGGAATTTATTTTTCGAGAGTCGTAGTCGAGCCATCGAGCCGGGAACATCTCCCGAGCCCCTTGTTTTTCCTCTCACGTGTCGGGCAATGAAGAACATCACGATTTGATCGGGTTTTCGTTTGGAATTTTATTGTTTCCGTTTGCCTGCCCTAGTGGCCATGCGGTTGCACCGCTAAAAAGGCATCTCCCTTTCCCCAAAAATTTCAGAAAATAATTCTCTTTTTTTTGTGTGTCTGGGGGATTTTTTTCCGACGGAATTCTATTATGCGCTGTGCCGTCAAGGCTCATCGCCAATGTTTTGGCCTCTCCACGTGCGTTCCGAGTGTTATGCTCGGCTTATGTTGCCCAGGGCCGTTACGCTTCCCGACAGGGCCCGCTGCCCTGAACAGCCTCCGATATCAGCTCTCCTCGTGTTCTCCTTGTGGGGGGGAATTTTTGCCGCGATTTCAGGTTTGGGGTTATCGATTTCCTTCTTTTGGGATTGAAAATTTCGCCTAAGTAATGCAGATATTATGTGCCTCTCTCGCGCCTCTGCGTACCATACGCCCCTATTCCCGCGACCCTGGCGATTTCTCTGCGCTATCGATAGGAATAATTTTCTAACTATCAGGCCGCGAAATGTTCTCTGCGTTAAATTAATTTCTTGTTATTACCAATACAGCTTGCGTCGACCCTGCGGATCCGCCGAGGATTTTCTTCCTCCCTTCGATTTTGCTTTTCCTTCCTGGTTTTCTTTTGTACCGCCCAAATTCATTAGAAATAAATTTATCAATTTTGTTTAATGGCTCGAGTTTCGTTTTCTCTTCTTTTGTTTTAATTTAAGTTCCGATGCCCAGACCTCGTTTCCATCCCGACTCACCCCTCTCTCCACAACCTCAGCCCTGAGCAGCGCGGGAAATCACCACCTTTCCTCCGATAGTCTTTTCTGTTTTAATCTACGTTTC